AAATAACACTGACATATACATACATGCTGAATAAAAGTATTAATTTATTTTATAAAATAAAAACCTTACTGACCCCAAACATTTAAACAGTGGCACTTATTAAAAATAATAATGTTTTTCACTAAATTAATAGAAGTATGAATTATATTTCACAATTATATGCAATAATATTAGAATTTAAATAAAAAATAGAACATTTTATTTATATTTTCTGTTTTGTTTTAGTTTTAGTCATTTGTTATTTCATTTTTATTAGTTTTTAAAATGTCTATATAGCTTATGTTTTAGTTATTTTAACTACTTCAACTTAAACAAACAAAAAAAAAGATAACTTTTGCTTGCCAACTAGTTAAAATAAAATAGGTTTAAGCTTTTTATTTTATTTATTTTATTTCAGTTAACGTTTATTATATTTCAAGTAATGAAAATGTTTGTATGGTTTTAGTTAACTATAATAACCCTGATGCTAACGTGAATTTATAAAGTAAACAAGGTCGATTTTAATTTCACACGCTCTAAAACACACAAAAACTCAAGGCTTCAAGCGGCTGCTGTTTCTCTAACGTCTGGATTTTTATTATTAATGACACTGGTGTTCAGATTGAGCGAGAGATGCATCATTTATCACACAGAAGCTGCACACACACACACACACACACACACACACACTCATGCTGTAGTAGTGCATAGCAGGATCCAGATGTGTTTCCTCCAGCAGGAAGCAGAGATCCGACAGAAGCACTGACCCAGCAGAACCCGTCAGCATCACAGATCCACAGAGAAGCAGAAGATCCAGAGCATCTGACGGACCAGATTACTGACCACAAACCAGATCAACACACCTGCATCAGCAGAACACGGACCAGACCTGATACACTCCACCTGCGCTGAGGTTCACGTATTAATGTATCAAGCCCTGTTCACACCAACAACGATAACTATTAAAAAATTATATAAGCGTTCACACAAGAAAATTAACTATATTAGCATTCACACCAATAACACAAACTATAACGATAACTATATTAACATGATAAATATATTAGCATTCACACCATTAACGAAAACTATAACGATAACTATATCAGCACGATAACTATATTAGCATTCACACCAATAACGATAACTATAACGATAACTACATTAGCACAATAAATATATTAGCATTCACACCAATAACACAAACTATAACGATAACTATATTAACACGATAACTATATTAACATTCACACCAATAACGATAACTATAACGATAACTATATTTGCACAATAAATATATTAGCATTCACACCAATAACGGAAACTATAACGATAACTATATTAACATGATAAATATATTAGCATTCACACCAACAAAGAAAACTATAACGATAACTATATTAGTACGATAACTATATTAACGTTCACACCAATAACGATAACTATATTAACACGATAACTATATTAACATTCACACCAATAACGATAACTATAACGATAACTATATTTGCACAATAAATATATTAGCATTCACACCAATAACGATAACTATAAAGATAACTATATTTGCACGATAACTATATTAACGTTTCACACCAATAACATTAACTATAACGATAACTATATTAGCGTTCATACCAATAAAAAACTATAAAGATAACTATATTAGCACGATAACTATATTAACGTTCACACCAATAACGAAAACTATTACGATAACTATATTAGCAGGATAAATATATTAGCATTCTCACCAATAACGATAACTATAAAGATAACTATATTAGTACGATAACTATATTAGCATTCACACCAATAACGAAAACTATAACGATAACTATATTAGCACGATAAATATATTAGCATTCACACCAATAACGATAACTATAAAGATAACTATATTAGCACGATAACTATATTAACGTTCACACCAATAACGAAAACTATAACGATAACTATATTAGCACGATAACTATATTAACGTTCACACCAATAACGAAAACTATAACGATAACTATATTAGCACGATAACTATATTAACGTTCACACCAATAACGAAAACTATAACGATAACTATATTAGCACGATAAATATATTAGCATTCA